CTCTCCTCATACACTCTGTCCTATAGCTCATCAATCTGTCTCACAGCCAGTCTTACAGCTTTTCGCTCTGTCTTATACCGTATCATACTGTTCGTGTTACAGCCTGTCTTACAGCTAATCGTTTTACACCCTATAGTATTGTGCGTTTTACAGCCTGTCTAACAGTTCATTACTCTCTCTTATAGTCTGTCTTACAGCTCACCACTCTGTCTTATACCCTACATTACTGCTCATCTTACACCGAGTCTTACAGCTTATCACTCTTTCTTAAAGCCCACCTTATAGCTTGCACCTTGTCTCTCAGCTCATCTTACACCACTTCTTACATGGGTGCACAATAGCTTCTCCATCAGTGAAGACAGAAAGAACAACCATCACCGTCTCTCACCACCCCACAACACCATCTCATCTCCCCCTTGAGCTTTCTGTCCATGGAGCCTTACGGACCGAATTGCTAAAAGCCAGTGAAAGGCAAGTATATCCAAACACTGTACTCATCGTAAAAGGCAGTTCTGCGCACGGCTGCCCGACGCTATGGGTGTAAATGCCTTCTCTGTGACAGCAGACTTAGGTCATGGGGGAAGATGGAAAGACCATATGGTAGAAGTCATCCTGAGAAAAACAACAAGGGCTGCTTCTTCTGCGGGGTCAACCAGCTCTTGGTGAACACCATGTGTCTCATCACAGACTCAGGAAGAGGGTCTCCCTTCAAGCAGTGCACCATTGTGCCTTAGAGAGAATCCATGTAGGAGAATGTGTGTGTGTGGGGGGGGGGCTGTGCCCTGCTTGGTGACCTTTTTCAGGCTCCTGCTGGGCATGCCAATGTGAAAAGTGTGAGTGGCAAGGTCACAAAGAGCTCAGAGGATCTGCAAAAGTAAGCGGTGGACAGGCTGCTGTCATTCTTAGCAGGCCCCCAGCCAGCCGCTCACACAATATGGTCCTGCTCCGGCCCAGTGCTCCCCACAAGCAGCTAGACACCCTTCATCAAAGTCCACACCCTTCATAGGACCTTGTTCTGTTACACATCTTAGTTGCACTAATGTCAGCCACACCGTCAGGAAGACATGGAGTAACGTTTCAAACTTTACCCAGTCACACTGTGGTTTAACTAAAGGGTACAACATCAGGACTCCCTCCCACCCTGAGAGTTCAGATTAGGTACAGCGGCAAATCCTTAATCACTCTCAACCTGAGATCTGCATCTGCTTCCCCTTTAAAGCACGAAAAGCGAGGTGGGGGGGGGGGGGGGAGGAAAAAGAACCTCTCGTGCTCTAACAATTCATATGTGTGTTTCGCCAAGAGATCAGGTAGCTGTACTGGGAGGTGGGTCCAAGAGGCGGAGCCAGGAGGTGGGACCAGGGGGCGGGGCCAGGAGGCAGGGCAGAAATACAGAGGCACAGGGAGAAATGTAATCGCAACACAGATCAGACTTCAGACACCCATCGTGTCAGCCAGAGAGGCCTATAGCTAGTCCCCTGATTACCCAGAGAGGCCTATAGCTAGTCCCCTGATTACCCAGGGAGGCCTATAGCTAGTCCCCTGATTACCCAGAGAGGCCTATAGCTAGTCCCCTGATTACACAATGATGCCAGCCTAGAGTGTTTTCTCTCTTCCTGTCATGTAAGCCCCTTTCGTCCCTCTGAGAGACACTTCTGCATGTTTAAACAACTTAAGACAAGGAAACAACCTGATGCAATCAATTTTGCAGCCACTCAAGAGGTGCGAGGGATTAAGCCAAGTCAGCCAATTCCGTAGCACATCCCGGGAACGCGCACATCTATCCAGCCCAAAGGAAATCCCTTTCAGTTCAGAAATGTGCTTTTCCCGTTTGCAGAACTTCAGCCACAAGTACGACACACATAAAAATGCAGCTCGTCAGAGATCAGAGAGTCAGTATCACAGACATTTACACAACAGGAAAACCTGTGTGTGTGTGGTCATGTATTGTGGGGACCAGATGTCCCCACAATGTGATGAAAAGTGTTATTTTGACATTGTGGGGACCATTTTTTTCGGTTTCCACAAGAGGAAACTCAATTTTATAAAAATCTGTGACTGCAATCAAAAAACTAAAATGTCTTGTATTTTTTATTTTTTTTTGTTACTTATGGTTAAGGTTAAGCTCTGTGTGTGTATGTGTGTGTGTGTGTGCATGTGCATGGTGGGGCGTGGATTTATAGTCAGGCCAGTAAAGGCTGTCTGTGCCAGATCTTATACCCATATAGACAGGCAGCACATTTTAAAAATGTTTTAGCCTGATTATGTTTGTGTGCCCTGTAATGGGTTGGTGCCCCATCCTGGGTTATTTCCTGCCTTGTGCCTGTAGCTTCCAGGACAGGCTCCAGACCCCCGTGATCCTGGTCCGTGTTACATACTGTATAGATTTGGCAGGAGCTGTAGTGAAGTTTACATGTTTCTGCTCCATCTGTGCAGGTTTACTCCATGTGCATTAGATTCCTTCCACAGGCCAGAAAACATGTGGTTTGGTGAGTCTATGTTTTTGTGGTATTTACAATGTGTGGCTGTGCATAAGAGTCCTTGCCCTGCTATGGACTGGTGGTGCCAAGAGACCAGGCCTGCCTCATGCCCTGTGCTCGCTGGGGCAACCCCAGTATCCCCGTGCCCCTGTACTGGGTATGTAGCTACAAAAGAGGGCGGGATGGACGTGCTGCGTGCAGTTGTGGGAGTGACGTGGCGGCCGGCGGCCCCACCTGCACGCGGGCCTCCGTCAGCTTGGTCCGCTGGGCCAGCTCCTCGCGGGTGTAGATGTCGGGGTAGTGCGTGCGCTCGAAGGCCTTCTCCAGCTCCTCCAGCTGCTCCGCCGTGAAGGTGGTGCGGCTCCGCCGCTGCTTCCTCTTCAGGGGCAGGTCGGGCTCGGACTCTACATCTGAGCCGTCGTCCATGCGGCCGCCTGGAACACAACGAATGGGGGGAGCAGGCTAAGTCACTGAACACGGGTCGGGAGTGCAGGCTAAGTCACTGGACACGGCTCGGGGGAGCAGACTAAGTCACTGAACACGGCTGGGGGGAGCAGGCTAAGTCACTGAACACGGCTCGGGGGAGCAGGCTAAGTCACTGAACACGGCCGTCCCGCCCTGAACACCCTTACAGACATTCTGACGTGTGTAAAATATGCTACCATAGCTACAAAGAAAGGTATGGGTACACATAGTCAAGGAAGCATAGGGATACATAGAATATAAAAGCAGTAAAGATACGTAATGATGCAAAACTAAGCACAAACCGTTACTTTTTTATAATATCGGTGAGAAGAGTGTCAGGCACAGATTTTCTTCCTTTTGAAAGGAGTTGATGTCATCTAAACTGTCCAATCGCTCTGACGGGCAATGTACAGTCAAAGTAACAGATAGACCCAAGTCAAACTGGATCAACAACACCAGACATTTCGGATGTCCAAGGGCCATCATGCTGGTCATGTCTGTTTCCATGGCGATATGGGTGTTGTTGGGTGGGGGGGATGAAGAGTGAGGAGCTGAGGATTTGAATGATATAGCTGAAAGTAAGAGACGGGAAATATTATTTTAATCTGTGGCTATTTATACATAAGGGGCTTTTGTGTATACAATGCCAAATCACAGCACATCCAAACAGACTTGGGAGCCAGGAGAGAAGGCGGAATGGGGGGGGGTTAATCTCCCCAGACCACCTTAGTGATCCCTGTACCACTATTCTTCTGTGAGGGCCTGGGGCTCCTAGACCAAACCGCCAGCGTGTAAATATTCCCATCGAAACGCCACATCGGCTTCGCCGAAGTGCCCGCCTCCAGCCTCCAACACTGTTTACAGTCACTGCGACAGATTGGGTTACATTTCAACCTCCATTTCGGTTACTGGAAACAGGTCTTCCTCTGCGGGCGGCGGCCGGCTGTGAGGATAAACACGGAGGCCGCACGGTTGACGCCACGCTGTTTTCCGGTAAACATGACGCGAAAGAGTCCGCCGTTCGGAGAGACAGACGACGAGGGGAGCCGCCTTTACTAAACCTGTCAAACGCTCTCACTGGTGCCCTTCATGCACAAAAACTGAAACGCTTTCACCCGCAGAGCTAAAACTGATAGCCATGCAGTGTAATATGATGGCTGTTTAGTCAAGAGGCACAATATTACAGCACAAGTATCATAGCTACAAAAACCAGTATATCGTTTAGAGAACAATACAAGGAATGGAAGCAGTTCTCGTTAGCATCCCTGGCTAGTAACAGCTAGCATAAGTGGCACAGGGAGGAAACATCTCTGCTGTCACTCTGCCAGCCTGTTCTCCCCATTCTTGTTGATTCCAGGAAGGAAACGGGAGTCCATTTTGTCATTTCGAACTTGAGCTTGCTGTTTACATTTCCAGTTTAGACAGAGAAGGACTGATCCCTGAAAATCTCCCCAGAGGCGCGGGAGGCCTGGTCTCACAGACTCAGGCTTTAACCCGTCGCCCTCCCAGCCTGGAATTAGGTGGGATAAATAGTGGTTTTTATTCTTGGATGTTCCTTTCCCAGACAGCTCCTACCACCCGCAAGCACTGCCGATCGCACAGGGCAGAGACGGGGCCCATCAATGTGCCAGAGAACGTACCCCCCCCCCCAAAAACACACACACAGCCGTAGATTTAAGGTCTCTACACCACCTTCTGCAGCTTGGAAAATAGGACCAGGGATTACACACAGCGTGGTTTCCCAGCAGGACTGGGTCGGGCAGCGGTCTGTCTGCCACACTGCTACTGGAAGACCTGATCACACACTGGGACTTGGGCTCCTGTGTCCCAGAAGGTCTCCATCACAGGTTAAGGGCAGCAGGGCTTCACCACACATGCAGTCAAATCTCACTCCACCCTTTACAGAGAATTCCATTATCATATTGCTTTTCTATTTTCTATTTTCACCATCTAAACTAACGTCATTTTGGACAAAACCTTCAAACAGTCCAATGAAGATATCTACATGTTCAATGTGATTCATTTATGGGTAATGCTTTCCTTCTCCAAGTATCTGGGACCCCTGGGACTGGATTCCAGGGTTGCGGGTGATCAGAGGGCTTCAGGCTATTGAGTGACAGCTGGAGCAGCTTGAGAAGATTCATAATGACCGGATCCTGTGTCTTATCTGTGTCTGACGCCGATTCATTGAGGATGCAGGCGGGGGGGGGCATGAGTTCGGGAAACCACATAGGGTCCCGCTAATCCCATCTGAGCGCCAGACGATGTTGAGGTGCGCTGCGCTCAGATGAAGAAGCTGTCTAGTTCTGAAGCACCCAGGGTCCTAAGGCTAGGTGTGAGCACCAGCGAGGACGTCGCTCTGCCATGAGATGCTGCTGAACGGCCCGTCGACGATAAGACCTTTTCTCTAGGAATGAGTTGGGTGCAGAGAAAGAGGGATCTCAGATGGTGTGAATAATCGCCTGAAAGGGAGAGTGGGTCTGGGTGCGCGTGCATGCGTGTCTGTGTGTTTAAGTGCATGGCTGGAGGTAGCTTTAAGAAAAGAAGGTTAACACCACAACCTGCAAATAACAATACTAACAGGACCCATCTAACTGGCTCAGACTGCTGGCCAGCTCCAGAGTTTAATTAAACAAGGAATTATGGGATTAGGTGGAGACTATCATTGCAGGCCACTCGAGACGATTCCTTGTGGATGTCTCTTTGTCTTCCCGAGCTCACGCTTGAGAATTCTCAAAGGATTACATGTGGCTGCAGGACATGCAGCCGCATTAATTAAATCAATTCCCCCCCCACCACCACCCCCCCCCCTCCTGTAGTAATGATTCATTTTCCAACAGTGCCCCTGCAAAAATACACTTGTAAATAGAAATAGGAATGCCGTATACACAGAGACACACACAGACATGCACACACACACACACACACAGCACAATGTATTCCTTTGTTAGTGTTCATGAGGATGCGGTAAAGAGATTTGCTGTTAACTCTGCAGGACAACACTTCAGTCCAGCAGGGTGTCCTGTAGTCCTTATTCCGGAAAGAACCTCTGAGTCCTGCACTTGCAGTGCGGTGGGTGCTGCTTCCATTTCAGTGACAGCATGGAATTTATTTGCTCTTCTACATGCTGCTGGATTTTGGCCTACTTGGGGAGGGGGGGCAGGTCTCACCATATCCATTTTCGCCATGCATCCTTTATTTTTTTTTCCCAGCATGTATGGTTATCTGGAGAGCATCACCGCAAGTCTGACACTGGTCGTCTTGTGGTCCCTGGGTCTCCAGTTGCTATTTCTATTGCCTTTTTCCAATGTGGTTGGGATTGTGGAACTCAAATAGAAAATTCACGACCGGAATTGGATGAATGCAGCCCCGCCGTGCAACACCACGCAGTCGGCGGGAGAAATGGCCAAACATGCGGGAGTAATTCCGGGGTCACAGGGACGGCAATCCCTGAGATCACCACGCACCTGAGCAGCCACAGTTAGGCCCCCGGGGGACTGACCATGTCTGGCAGCTCATAGAAAGCGAAGCCCAGCATGTTATGCAGCAGCGCAATGCACGATGCGCTAGACAGGCGTGTTCCCCAATGCACCAGTGGTGTTTCAGAACGAAATATAATGCCACAGACACCTTCAAGGCAGGTGATGCATGTCTGACAAGTAGTCTTACAGAGCATCAGTTTCAGATAAATGAAAGCAATTACCCACATCCCAACAACACAAAACAGCCTGATTATGGCATAAGAGCACCACTGTAATTCCACTTGAAAGCTGTGTGGGAGATTGATAAAATTGTCAGGCCGTGTCATTTATCATAGATGTAAATCCTAATCGCGTGTTACTCAGAGAGTATTATTCCCAGAAATTCTATTTCCTCGGGGTAGTTTACACATGTGCCGCTTTTAAACGCAGATATTTCTTCTTTTAATAACATTATTTAAGATCATGTCAGGTCCATTTAAATGAGGTCGGCCCATTCTGATACCGTGAAACACTAAAGACTGAAAGTCAGCGGCAGTTTCGGGCCAGAAGGAGCATTTGTCACTCCACGCCAACAGCATCATGTTTACCCCTTTAATAAAATGATCAAATGAATGAGCAGCAGGTTTCCTCAAAGGGATCGATATCACCTGCTGCGATGAGAGCAATAAATTGAAGGATTTATGGTAAGTGCTAATAATCTTCCAACACCAGCAAAATGATGCCAGAGCGATTTTCACAAGACAGAACGACATCAAGTCAAAGTCAAAGCATCGTTACGGTTTCCTTTAGCTTCACCAAGCATCACCATTATATTGTATGTATTTGCATGTCTGCCTATTAACATGGGACACACATAGGTGCCTTATTGAAAGATTCTCCCCAATAAAAAGCTTTGATGAAGGATCATCTACACGCTTTTCATGTAGCTCATGCCAGACTGTCAGATATTGGGGAATCCTTCCCTGCTGCAGCTTTCCTTTCTGCTGCAAGTTCTGCTGATCTGACAACAAGCAAATGTGACATCCATCACCCATGTCATACAAACACCACCCCCCCCATTCCACCTCTCAACCTCTCCCATATCGGCTTTTCTAACCATTTTTCCTAGAGGACACAGAATTGTCCTCCACTTTTGCCAGTTATTTATTCCGGAGCGACGCCTGAGGTGAACTGGATTCCATTGGATCTGTATTAAATGCTGTGGGGCAGGTATGCTGGAAAGGCTACTCTGTGAAATTTAATTGAATGGAATTGATCTCGCGGTGGGCTAATTGCCTCCACCTGCCAAGCCTTCTCTGTCTCAGAGACACAGAGTGAAAGGGATGCACCCTAACTTCCAGACTACAAGATCCCTTTCAGATCGCCAGGTCATCCTTTGCCTAGTCCTCAAAATCCCAGCCAGCATGGCTGTCTTCGCCTGTTTTTTTCTCACAAGGTATGCTACCACGATCGACCGCGGACATCTCCTTAAGAAAGAAGGAGAGAAA